TCCTATTCCGAATGCCTCTGCAATACTTTATAGGTGAGAAGAATGATCTGTGCCTCCCTACCTCTTATAGTTACCACACCTACTCAGGACATTTTCAGCAGAACCAAGTGTGTAACACAATGATCCTCCCTAACGCCCCGCTAATCACATGGCATGAGAGCAATGAACACAACCTCCAGCATAGTCCCGTCCACACGGTGCACCCAATCCCCTCCCTACACCTTCTATCATGGCAGAGAGGTGCCAGAATTTTTAATTTACATTTTAAATTAATTTTTAAACAATTTTAATTTTAAATTATACCAAGCAGAGGGGAGCTGGTACAGTTTTTTAGGCCATTCAACTAAATATGTGATTAATAAACTCCAAGGTTTCTAGGTTTTATTTGGTTTTACTCTTTCATTTTTATTCATTCTTTAGACCTTCTAAGCCCTCACCCACCCCACCAGAGTCCATTAAAGAGCCTGATACTAGTGGCTACAGGGCATTGGGGAAAGGGGGCACATTTTCCTTCATCTTCATGTTTCCACATAGAAGGTCGTAAATTAGAGTGACACTCCTGGCCTCTCTCTGCCCCTTACTTTTTTCTCCCCAAGGAGAGATTTCTCTGACTGGTGGAGTTGAGATACTTATACCTTGTGGCTCTATCTCTTTTATATCCCTTGGCATCTGCCTTCCTTCAGAGTGTAAGTATTTGAGTCTCCCATGGACAAGGCCATAAGCTTAGCAGGAGGAGCTCTGCCCATCGAGAGTCTGCCCACAGTTTTCTAGAATGGCCTGCACTGGGTGGTAAAGACTGCTCCAGGGATTTAGGATAGGAAGCATCAGAGCCACCTTTACCAGATGACATAAGAGTAAGAAAGCTGACATTCTCCTCTCCACCTGCTTGACTTCTCTGTTTCAAATTGACTCCGAATGCAAGTGGGTAATTCATTACCCAGAAATCTCACTTCTAGAATTTACCTTGAGAAACCACCTCTACAAATATGAAACAGCATCTGCGGAAGTTATTCATTGCTGTGTTGTTTGTTGGAAACAGCCCAAATGGCCATCTGTAGGTGAATTGTGTACTTGTGGTACATCCACACACCAGAGTAATGTGTAGTGATTTAAAGAAAGAATGAGAATGCTTTCTATAGAGTGACATGGAATAACTTCCAGGATGTGTTGTTAATTTTAAAAATCAAAGTTCCAAAGAGTTATTGAGCATGCTACTTCTTGCTTGAGAACAAAGGGGAAGAACAGACACATATTTACTTCATTTATCATAAACATAAGGATTACGTAGAATCTAATAAAAAATCATTCTATGGGAAGGGTAGAAATGGAGGTAGAAAGAAAAAAGATGACAGAGAGACTTCTCTGAACATATCTTTTGTGTAGTTTTGACTTGAAACATGTAGTTGGTTTTCATTTTCAAAATTAATGTTAAACAAGATGAAAAATCCTAAAATGTAAGGGAAGTAGAAACAAATTAATATAATTGTATATCAGCTTGATATCAATACCACATAGAGAAAAAAAAGAATTCAGGTAGTGTTTTAGCACAATCATCTGATTACATACATTTCATAGGATATATTTTAAGAGCAAAAAGAACTACCAAAAAAATCTTGAACTTTATTCAGTAGGTTTGTTATTGGTAGTATATTAGTACTAAAATCCTGAAAGCATTTGCATGTATTTAAAGATAGAAAAAAATGCATAAATATATTGATTTAACAAGTTATCAAAAAGGACAAGAGAGATGCAAACATAGAACATGAGAGAGTGAGGAAGAACTGGATGAGATTCTATTTTAATTAGAGAGAAATACACATTTTTCCCCCCAGGTCTGTCTACTGAAAGAGCCTAGAATCCATTTTAAATTTCTTGGGTTTAATAATTGTGTTATGGCCATATAGGAAAGTATTCTTGTTCTCAGGAGGCACATATTAAAAATATTTTTCAAAGTGGGAACAGGGGAAATGGGATACTACTTACTGTCTTCCTAAAACTCCAACAGAATAGGTTTTCCCCAACCAGATAGTACCAATTTATTTTAAACTAACCAAAACTGTCAACTTCTAGCCCATTTAAATGTTTTTGTCAACATTCCCAATTAGCATCCTATCTCATTAATTATTTGAATTCTATCTTATTTCCCCTGCTCCTGTGGGACAGGAAATATATCTTCTCTCTTGGACTGCGTATGACCTCTAACATCATGCCTTCCTGGCTCAAAAACACTCAAATTCTTACTGAATGAACTCAGTAATCTGCCAGCACTAACTATGCCACCTAACCATGGCACCCCTATAATTGGAGCATCATAACCACCTCTCTTTCATGACAGCCTAAGACCAAGACTTAATTCATCCACTCAAAAATATTCACAAAACACAAATTACGTATCATATACTATGCTGGGATCCTGAGGAAAGACGGGCAAAAAAGATACGATCTTTATTCTCAAAGAGCTCTATATAGTGGGAGAGACAAACAGGTCATTACAACACAAAATCATATATGCCACAATAAAAATAAGTACAGGCGCTAAGAGCCACATGACTCATAGCTAAAAGAGGCTGGTTCCATTGCTGAAGGAATTATGGTTACAATGACCATCATCTGCCAAGGGCTAGGAGGACCACAGGATAGATCTGTCTAACCAAAGCTGTCCTGAAATATCTAAGACTGTGATTATATGCTTCCTGTGGCTAGACTGTATCTGGCTAGAACTAAGACACTAAAAACAAGGTGATATGAAGCTGTTCTTATCACCCAAAACATTCCATTCCTTCTCACTCCTGATTTGCAAGGGAGCTTCTGTCAAAGGTTTTCAATGCAGATGTGGAAATCAGTGACTTCCCCCCAATAATGCTGCATAGAAGGGCTTGGTGAAACGGTCCTTGTAGCGTGGAACAGGCTCTGATTATCATCTTCCCTCTACTATCAGAATAATTGCACAGTGCACAGGCATATTATTAACAACTGGGCACTACCACAGGAAACATGTTAGAAAACACCTGCCTTGGCAAAGCAAAGATGAGCTGACCCAATTATTTCTTCCATCTCTAATTCTGGATGTGATATTAAGAGTAATTGAAAGGAACACATTGGCAAAAAATGGGTGATAGGTCTGCTGGGGTTGCAGGAGGCCCTACCCACAGCGCTCAATTGGGAAAAACTCTGAAGAATCATCTAATTATACTTTTACACACCCCTTCCCTCTCCCATGAAAAATGCCAGGGGTGAAAACGTGTCATCTAGAGACTTTCTCCCATCAACAATTTCCCCCATGTGTCAATGTGAAATTTTTTAAATTCCAGTCTAGAGCTCTTGGAGGGATAATGATGAGAATGAGACCCTGCCAGCCATACAGGATGGGATGTGGTGCACTCTGCCTAGAACAGATGGCCCGAACAGAAGCCACTTACTCAATGTGACAGCCCAAGATAAAATTGCTCCCTTTAAGTCTTCAGCAGTTTTGTGGCCCAATTCTTATTAACTTCTCCAGAAACACAAAGAGGCTTGGGTCTACATAAGCTTCATCAAGGCGCTTTTCAAGTAATTTATTGACTTGACCAAAAGTCGAACTGGAAGGTGACAGAGAGTCATCTATTCTGTCCATTCCCAAACGTAACAGCACAAGAGAATAACTCTAGAGCTTTGAAATACCGCTATAAAATATTTCAAACATACAGAAATGTAATGCATTAAAATAGCCAAGTGTCCAGCACAGATCATTTATGAATTTTGTCATTTTTCCATGTTTTCTCTGGATATTTCTACATAAAATACTATTACACATACATTTCAAGCTTAGTATCTCTCTCCTGTCTCATTCCTTATTTTTCCACAAGGACAATCATTATCTTAAAGATATGTTCCATTTTTATATTTTTATATATTTTTAGTAATATATGCAAGATTGTGTATTGTTTTGTATATTTTAAAATACAAACATACATGTCTTATTGCACTGCACTTTATTACACTTTGCAGATGTTTTGATAAATTGAAAGTTTGTGGCGATCCTTCCTTAAGAAGATTTATTCATGCCCTTTTTCCAAGAGCATGTACTCACTGTGTGTCTCTATGACACATTTTAATCATTCTTGCACTATTTCAAACTTTTTCATTACTTTTATATCTGTTATGGTGATCTGTAATCAGTGACCTTTGATGTTACCATTGTAAATGTTTTGGGGTACCATGAACCACACCTATAAAGGATGACAAACCTATTCAACACAAATGTCTGTGTTCTTACTGTTCCACTGACCAGCCATTCCCCTGTCTCTCTCCCTCTCCTTGAGTCTCCCTATTCCCTGAGACACAAGAATATTGAAATGAGGTCGATTAACAACCCTATATGGCCTCTTAAGTGTTCAAGTGAAAAGAACAGTCACAACTCTGACTTTAAATCAAAGGGTAGAAATGATTATGCTTAGTGAGGAAGACATACTGAAAGCCAAGACAGACCACATCCTAGGCCTCTTGCACCAAACAGCCAAGTTGTGAGGTGAAGAAAACATCCTTGAGGAAATGAAAAGTGCCACTCCAGTAAACACATGAATGACAAGAAAGCAAAACAGCCTTATTGCTTATGTGAAGAAAGTTTTCATGATTTGTTTGGCTAAGGAATCAAACCAGCCACAACATTCTCTTGAGCCAAAGCCTAACCCAGTGGAAGGTCCTAACTCTTGTTACTTCTGTGAAGCCAGAGAGAGGTGAAAAAAAAAATCTGCAGGAAAAAGTTGGAAGCTAGCAGAGGCTGGTCGAAGAGATTTAAGGAAAGAAGTCATCTCCATAATATAAAAGTGTAAAGTAAACCAAGTAAAGCAAGTGCTGATGTCAAAGCAGCAAAAATTATCCAGATCTAGCTAAAAAGCTTGATGAAATATCCAGAAGATTTAGCTAAGAAACTTTGTGACTATACAAAACAACAGATTTTCAATGGAGAAATAGCCTTCTATTGAAAGAAGATGCCCCCTAGGACTTTCATAGGTACAGAGAAAATGTCAGTGTCTGAATTCAAAACTTCAAAGCTGACTCTCCTTATTAGGGGATAATGCAGCTAGTGACATTAATTTGAGGCCAGTATTCATTTGCCATTTCAAAAGTCCTAGGGTTCCTGAGAGTGATTCTAAATCTACTCTGCCTGTGCTCTATAAATAGAATAGTAAAGCCTAGGTGATAGCACATCTGGTTACAACAAGGTTAATTGAAAACGTTAAACCCACTGTTGAGACCTACTAGCCAGAAAAAAGATTTCTCTCAAAATATTACTCCCCATTGACAATGTACCTGGTGACCCAAGAACTCTGCTGGACATGGACAAGGAGAGGACTTTTGTTTTGATGCCTGCTAACACAATATCTATTCTGCATCCCATGGAACAAAGAGAGATTTCAATTTTTAAGCCTTATTATTTAAAAAATACATTTAATAATGCTGTAACTGACATAGATAATGATTCCTCTTATGGTTCTGGGCAAAATATATTCATAACTTTCTGGAAAGGATTCACCATTCTAGATGTCATTAAGAACATTCATAATTGATGAGAGGAAGCCAAAATGTCAACATTAACATGAATTTGGAAGAAGTTGATTCCAACCCTCCTGGATAATTTGGAGGGCTTCAAGACTTTAATGAAGTAATTACAAATGTGATTTAAAAAAATAGCTCATGGATTACAAGTATCAATATTTTTTAAATGGCCATAGTGACTAAAGCAATCCGCAAATTCTACATTATGCCTACCAAGCTATGAATATCATTTTTCACAGAACTAGAAAACACTATTCAAAAATTCATATGGGCTCACAAAAGAGCCCAAGTAGCGTAAGCAACTTCAAGCAAAAAGAACAAAGCCAGAGGCATCACATTATCTGACTTCAAACTGTACTATAAGGCACAGTAACCTAAAGAGCATGGTACCGGCACAAAAAACAGATACATAGACCAAATGAAACAGAATGGAGACCCCAGAAATAAAGATGCACATCTACAGTCATGTGATCTTTGACAAAGTTGACAAAAATAAGCAATGGGAAAAGAACTCCCTATTCAATAAATGGTGCTGGGATAACTGGCTAGCCATACGCAGAAGATTAAAACTGGAACCCTATCTTCCACTATATACAAAAATTAACTCAAGATGGGTGAAAGATTTAAATATAAGACCTCAAACCATAAGAATCCTAGAAGAAAACCTAGGAAACACCATTCTGGATAAGAATTATGTTTTGGAAACAAGTTGGGAAAGAATTTATGAATAAGTCTTAAAAGCCATTGATAAAAACAGTGACAAGTGGGACCTAATTAAACTAAGGTGCTTCTGCATAGCAAAAGAAACTATCGACAGAATAAATAGGCAACCTACAGAATGGGAGAAAATATTTGCAAACTATGTATCCAATAAAGGTCTAACATCCAGAATCTATAAGGAACTTAATTCAATAAGCAAAAAACAAATAACTCATTAAAAATTGGCAAACAACATGAACAGACACTTCTCAAAAGAAGACATACAAGCAGCCAACAAACATATGAATAAATGCTCAGCATCTCTAATGATCAGGGAAATGTAAATCAAAACCACAATGAGATACCATCTCCCACTAGTCAGAATGACTATTATTAAAAAGAAAAAACAGATGCTGGAAAGGCCCCAGACTGTTGGTAGGAAAGTAAATTACACTGTTGATGGGACTGTAAATTAATTCAACCATTGTGGAAGACAGTGCGGTGATTCCTCAAGGATCTAGAACCAGAAATACCATTTGATCCAGCAATCCCATTACTGGGCATATACCCAAAGGATTATAAATCATTCTATTATGAAGGCACATGAACATGTATGTTTATTGCAGCACTATTTACAATGGCAAAGACTTGGAACCAACCCAAATGCCCATCAATGATAGACTAGATAAAGAAAATGTGGCACATATACACCACGGAATACTATGCAGCCATAAAAAAGGATGATTTCATGTCCTTTGCAGAGATACAAATGAACCTGGAAACCATCATTCTCAGCAAACTGACACAAGAACAGAAAACCAAACACTGCATGTTCTCACTCATAAGTGTGTGTCGAACAATGGGAACACACAGATAGGATACAGGAAGGGGAACATCATACACTGGGACCTGGGGGGTGGGGGGTTAGGGGAGAAATAGGAGGGGATGGGGGGATTGGGGAGGGATAGCATTAGGAAAAATACCTAATGTAGATGACAGGGCAATGGATGCAGCAAACCACCATCATGGCACGTGTATACATATGTAACAAACCTGCACGATCTGCACCTGCACCCCAGAACTTAAAGTATAATAAATAAATTTAGAAAAAAAACCTACATGATGGGTGGATAGGTGCAGGAAACCATCATGACACATGTATACCTATGTGACAAACCTGCACGTTTAGCACGTGTATCTCAGAACTTAAAGTAAAATTAAATATATATATATGAAATACATATATATATGTATATATATATATATATATATATATATATAACCTCATAAACATAGCCGATAGGTTTCTATAGAGAAACCTAATACACAAACATCAATTTTCCCCACCAAATGCTCCTTACATACTATTCTTTCCTTCTGTACTGTGCTTTACCACGAAGTAAATATCTTTCATTCCTTTTAGCAGGGTCTGTGAGTAGGAAACTCTCCCAGTCTTCATATACTGTTAGATGTCTCTATTTCATCATCCTCTCTCCTGATTGGTAATTTGGGTGTAAAATTCTAGGTGAACTCTTATTTTCCCTCAGTCTTATATATTCATCATTCTATTATCTTCTGGCATCTATTATTTCTGAAAAGAACCTTGTTATTAGTTGATTGTCATTCTCCATAGATAATCAATATTTTATCCTTGGCAGCTTTTTTTATTTCTGCTTTGACTTTCGTGTTCTGCTATTTCACTATGTTGATGTCTGGGTGTACACTTTTTTTATTTTTTCTTCTGGAGCCTCAGTATGCTTTTTAATCTCTGCTTCACATCTCTTGACTTGTTTTCATATTTTCTTTCTCCTTATCTCTCTATGCTACATCCTGAATAATTTCCTGAGATCTTTCCCCTTCTTAAATAATACTCTTTTCAGCTGCGTCTAAGCTACATTTAGACTCATTATTTGAGGGATATTGTCCCATAATGGCCATATTTTACTTTCTATCATGTCTATATAGCTCCTTTTCGAATCCTCCTATTTATGTATTATATTATCCTGTTTTTGTCTTGTGGCTTCTAGCCTCTCTCAGTCACCCAGGTTGGAGTGCAGTGGTGCAATCTCAGCTCACTGCAACCTCTACCCCCCAGGTTCAAAGGCTTCTCCTGCCTCAGCCTCCTCAGTAAATGAGATTACAGGCATGCACCAGCACGCCCAGCTAATTTTTGTATTTTTAGTAGAGACGGGGTTTCACCATATTGGCCACCTTGAACTCCTGACCTCAGGTGATCTACCCACCTCAGCCTCCCAAAGTACTGAGATCACAGGCATGAGCCAACATGCCTGGCCTATTATCTCCAATTCTTGTGATGCAAATTCACCAGTGTGATCATCTTCCTCATGGTGTTTTCTATTCTCATGTGAGCTTTTTATTTTTTAAATGTGTAGTTTAGTGATTCTATTTTTCATGGGAGTACTAATTAAAGTATGGGCAGTGTCAAATTTCTGACTCTTTTTTCCCATCCATCATCCTGAATAGAGGCCCAGCTTTCTTACTTCTCCATTAGACAAGTTAATAGAATTTCTCATATCCATTTCAGGCCTCCCAGCATTATGAAGACTGCTATTTTTCATGGACCTAAGACTTTGCCTCCTATCCTTCAGTATGCATTAGAATCTGGTCAGGAACTTTTAAAAAATTGGTTCCTGGGCCCCACTCTAGGCCTTCTGAAGCAGAAATCTGAGTGAGCATGAGGGCCCAGGAATGCACATTTATCAAGCTCTCTGGGTCCAGCCACCCTAGTATTGGATTGGCAGAGCCAGAATGAGAATCCATATTTCCTGAGAGAATATTAGTGGCAGAAGATAGTGGGGAGAAACAGGACATCCATAAAACTTACTCTCTCACTCAACAGAAGGAGAGCAAAATATGGTTCAATGGTCCTCTAGTCAGAAGTCATAAACAAGCACAGACTGCATGCTGTTCCTTTCCTAAATAATGTTCTTTCATACAAAGGCATTTCCACTTAACTGAAAAATCTGTAATTTAACTGACCCATTTTGTCCATTTTTCACAGAATAATTCTAGAATCTTCAAAATTATCACCAAAAAAGGCCACGTGACATAAAAAAGAGGTTTTTTTTTTTTTTTTAAATCCTCCATGGCAAAACTAAATAGCTTTAACCTCTACTTTTACTTAGTTATTCAGACTTTATCCACAGCTTTAATTATTGTTTTATTTTATACAATAAGTTTTACCTCTGTGGCTTCATGTAAATATCAGAATAAAACTTGAGACTAAAAAATTAGATTTATTTGATGTGTAGTAAGACGAACCAAGCAAGCTTTTCTAACTAGTAAATACATTTTCTCATGCTATGAGCATGTCTAACCTAATGGCTCAATTTCATTTTGAAATAAAAGTGTTATTACATTATTCAACATAATGCTTTGAGTACCATTTAAAGCTCATCATATTCTGCCACGTAATCTTCAGTTTTATCCCTTTCCACTACCCGACTTTGGCCTCAGCTGCATCAAAATAACCTGGATTTCCCTGAACATGTCTCTCCGTTTAAGGCTTTTGAGCCTTTCTACTCAGGGACTCTGACTAGAGTGCCTTCTTTCCCACACTGTCTCATCCCATCCCTATTGCCATGACTTCCTCCACATACACATGGACACTTCACAATCCAGCACCTCCCTCCCCATCCTTCAAAACTCCCCACAAAGATCAACAAATATACATCTCTCAGAGCAATGTTCACACTCTACTACAATAATTGATTCTCTTTCTTACAGTAGAGCATAAACTCCTTGAGGGTAAGGACCATGTTTTATTTAACTTCCACGTGCAATATGAAAAGTTAAATGTCTGAGTAGCTACCACATGGCCACGACTTGCTGGGCACTGGGGGTATGATGGTGAGGACCCAGGCATCTTGCCCAAGGGCACTGAGAGTCTAGTGGCAGAAAAAGACAACTGAATGACCAAATAAGTAAATATATAAATACATACTATGAAAAGCCTACAAACAAAAAGAGCAGGATGTACAACAAAAGGATCTGGTTTATTCTGGAAGTTTCTAGAGGGCTTCCCTCAAGAAGAAATACATGAGCTGAAGGAAGATTTGAGAGTAATTAGGCAAAAGGATAAACAAGAGCATTCAATGGAAGGAGTAACCAACCCAGAGTTCTCAAGATAGGATGGAGCATTTAAGGGGAAGAACAGGGGACACTGTTGCTGGCGTCCCAGGGCAAGGAGCAGAGTGACCACAGATGAGGCTAAAGAATTGCAAAGGTAGGTCTAGCAGGAGGTTTTAACACACTCCTCCCCGTGTGGTGTGTTGACATGTGTCCAGCCCTTAGCATGGTGCATGAGAAATAGGCCTCAATAAATATTTGCAAAATACTTGCTAATCCATGAACAGACACAAAATCAACCTTGATTTTGAGGCCACACAGGACTGAATTATAATCTTGAGAAAAATCAGTTCTCAAAAACAAACACTGAAACATATTCAACAGGTGTTTGTCAGTTCTATGCTTTAGACAAGGTATTGCAGGGCACTGCAGAGAGTTTTCAGAGTCCAGTCAACAGCATAGAAACATTTTTCTGAAATCCAACTATTCTTTTCACTTTTTTTTCCAGTTAAATTCAAGAAAAATGAAACTTCATGGTTTTGCTAATAAAAAGTAAAGATACTGTAATCTCATTTTTTCCAAACTATTTTTGTCTATTATTCTTTCTATACATAAGAAAAGAACTTGAATATTCATCAAATACTAATAAAAGTTGTATATTTCT